GCTTTTTAGGGATCCTCTATCTGACTAACTTAGACCCTAGCCTTTGTGTGTCTTTGAGTAAAGCCATTCAAGATTTCCAGATGGAATCTTTGTTGAAGTCATATATGTTGTGGATGGAGGCCCTTGTTCTGCAATCTATAAAAGCTATCTGGAAGAGGATAGTTCCCTAATGAGCAGTTATGAAGCTGTAATCCAAAGGAATAGGAGGGGGGTGCAGACCATGCAAAGCAATGCCCCGACACACATTGCTCATTTTGCTAATGTGGTCTTTCTCTGGATCTTTCAGCAACAGTAGGACTTTACTGAAAGGAACAGTAAAAGCTTGTTTGTTGAAACATCAGATTTAAACATTTAACTCAAAGCACTTGCTATAAAGCTAAAGCTAGTAATGTTCCGGCATGGGCCATAATCTCATAAACTTCCCCTTCTTGTCATGGCTGTATGTTCATTAGGCACCAGGTAACTAGCCAAGAAAACAAACAAACAAAAAAAACTGTTCTGTGAAGTTACGAAACCCACCACCCTGGCTGCAACTATAGCAATTATTTATTTGGGTCACTTTCATAGTTTCCACAGAACTAGAGGCTGGCTTCCAGACTTTATAGGAAACAAGAAGGAGATGGTGGAGCCAGCTTTGTTAGATTCCAGGCATCAAAGAAAGCTCTAACAGGGTGTTAGCATTGTCACCAGGCAATGAAGGCGTTTGACTGAATTATTGCCCAAATAAGTAGAGGCATTTAAGGGAATAATGGATCTTATTTGCGATGAATACTTTTCCTTTTGGACTGACAGCAAAGACCATTTTTCTGACTATAATGGTCATTTCTTACAAAAAGATGGGAGGAGGTGTTATCTGTGTGTGTCTGTGTGAACCTATGCCAAGTATGTGAACCACAAATGCCTAGTGCTCCAAGTTAGCTTTCTCCAAGTGTTTGATCATGTTTCTTCAAAAGCTTAATTATGTGCTTCTAATAATTATTGACAAATAAGACTGCATTTTGTCTATAAGTGCCAAACTTAGATGTTTTAGTTAATCTCTTATAACATTAAAAAAAGAAAGAAAGAAAGATATTTAAAGGAAAGTGAACAAAATGAAAGTTTTAAAAATCTTCCATACCACAGTATGCAGTAGTATCCTTCAGCTAGTTTGGGGACTTCTCATCTGGACCACATATCGTATACCTTTGCAGCCTCCTAGTACCTCAGGGATAATGGAAAACTAGGGCCTTTGTCTTGTCCAAAGTGTGTTTGTGATTTAACAGTTTCATAATGCCATAAATTCTTGTCATTCTTTGTTAACAGTGGTTTTGTGGATGTTGTTGTCGGCGTATATCAAATACAGACACTTGTGTACTTCATAATGCTCATTATTTTTTAGGGTTTATCTTTAATAATTACAGAAAGATTTATGCTTGTGGAATTTTCTATCTCTTTCCCTTCCTTACATTCTTCTTGCTTTGTTTCTATTAGATTAATAATAATGTGATTTAAAACATACTTTCTTTCCTTCTTCCCTTTAACATTTCTGAAGTAATCATATACATTTCCTATTACAATAACTATGGGCCAGGTGCTTGCTCCTCCCTCTCCCTTTTCCTCTACTCTCCCCTCCTCATTCCTTCCCCACAAACTAGTGTTACAGGCATATGGATGCTGGGAACTTACCCTGGGTCCTCATTGAGCCATCATCTACCTTGTTGTTTTGAGACAAGGTCACACGCTGACCCTGGAGCTCACTGGCTTGACTAGACTGCTGGCCACTGAGCTTTTCAGTGATCTAAACATTGCTATGATAGCTATGATAAACACCCCCCCTGTACACTGTGACAAACTTGAAGAATTCTTGAGTGACTTGAGAGAGAGAGAGGGAGAGGGAGAGAGAGAAAATGAGTTTTGTTTTTGTTGTTTTGTTTTGTTTTGTTTGAGACAGGGTTTCTCTGTAGCTTTGGAGGCTGTACTGGTGTGTGTGTTTTGATGGCTGTGGATATAACCCAGTGGTAATGTCTAGCATAAGTGACAACCTGAGTTCATTTCTCAACACTGAAATTCATGAACTTAACATTGAGTCTAATGCTTCAGTCCCTAATATCTAGACCTTTAAATAACTTGGTTTTGAAAGGAATTTATTATAAGAAAATTATCTTTACTAGAGACACAAGCCCTTTCTTCCTTTTTTAAAAATGTATTTTTTTTTTTTTTTTAATTTTTGTCTCAGGAGAGAATGAAGGGGTCTATTTTGTGGACAAGGTTTCCATCAGAAGGGAATCCCTTGGCAAGAGTATAAACAGCTTTGGCAGAAAGCCACCCTCCAAAGGGACAGGGCTCAGCTTGTCTTAACAAGGCAAAAGGAATGTCCCTAGGAACAGTGATGGCCAGCAAGGGACAGTATGGGTGGAGTCACTGTCTTCCTGGGAGCCATTACACTGAGGTTCTGTGAACTGTATGACTGCTTACTGTATTTTACATGGACCCGCAATGTTCCCCTTAGCTTTCGTTGTAAACACAATAATGATTTAACAAATGTATAAGGTGTAAATAGTATATGCTTAGGTTGTTTCCTTCCCTCTCTCCCTTTTCCTCCAGAAATAAGTATATAAATAAATTGTACGTCTACAAAAGCACATCTTAAGACCCATCTCTGCAGGGCTACACATACAGAGAGCTCTTTTTGATCATTGTATTCTGGGGTGGCCCTTGATAGGTACATATTCATACCATTTATCTTGCCTTTGCAAAATGGGAGTGTGTGTGTGTGTGTGTGTGTGTGTGTGTGTGTGTGTGTGTGTGTTAGAGTTGTAATGCTGTTGTCTATCAAGAATCTCCCTATAGTTTTTGTGTAAGTCGGTGATGGGAGATGTCATTCTGTATATATTTCTCATACTGGTTAATGAATAAAGCACTGTTGGCCAATAGGAAAGGAAGATAGGAGGGACTAGGAGACAAGGAGGAAAGAGGCAGTAGTAAGGAGGAGAGAAGATGGAGAGTCTAGAGAAAATAGAACTGCCAGCCGCCTCTTGCTGGTAAGACCACGTGAAAATACATAGATCAGTAGACATGGGTTAATAATTAAGACAGAGTTAGCCAATAAGAAACAAGTAACTGGCCAACAGAATTGTATCTAATACAGAGTCTCTGTGCATTATTTGGGGCTGGCACGGCGGCGGGAGGAAAAACTGTACTCCTTACATAAGTCCTAGGATTTGAAGTCAGATCCTTGAGCTTACAAAGCAAACATGTTACTGAGATCTTCTTTGTCCTCAAAACATCCTTTTTTATTTCCCCCTTTGAGACAAAACTTTGCTGTATAGTCCTGACTGATCTGATTCTGTATAGTCCAGGCAAACCTCAAATTTATGTCACTCCTCCTGCCTCAGTCTCCCGAGTACTGCAATTCCAGGTGTATGTCACCATGCCTGCTGTCAGTGATCCTTTTAATTAAGGAAATTGCTGTCTGTTTTAATGAATTTCTCGGAAGAATGGATAACAAGTCAGCCATCCCTTCCATGTGTAATTATGTGTGCAATTGTGTATAGCATTGCTGGTTCGGTATAGTTTTATGTGAAACGCATGAAGGATTAGTGAGACACTCATCATACTCCAATGTCTTTCCAGTTGACTCAGAACAACTGGCAAGAGAAATAAATAGTGGGTGGCATCACACACACATAGGCGAGCATTGATCTACACCACACCAAAACAACTTCCTCATGCAGGCAGTAAACCTCTGTCTGGGTGTTTGACAGTTTTTAATCTGTTTGTATCGTTATCTAAATCCATCCCTCCTTGCTAAAAGCATGTGGTCCCTTCCCCATAGTTCCCTCATACACTTAGGGACTTACACTACACAATAAGTTCGAACCATTCTTTAATTAAGACCTAAATCTGTTATTTCCTTCCTTGAAGGCCCCGTTAGGACAGAATGTTACCTGCAATAACCTTTTAAATTATAAAATATATAAACCCAGAGATGGAAATTTTAGAGAAAAAAAAAGAGAGAGAGACCATACTATGATCATTTCCTCGAATTACTGCTAACTTGTAAACATTGTCATAGTTAGGTAGTATCCACTGAGTGCTTTGATTTCTTAACAGTCGCCTGGTTACCGTTCTAAAGGCAGTGCAACCTGGAAGGATGGAGCCTGAAAATGAAAGTGGACTAAAGTCTCATGCAATAGCCAACTTTATTCAGAGCATCAGACAATTGTACTCTGAGGGTTGAGCATGGTCACATGAGTAAAGTTCTCATGAGGTCAAGCTGTATGCAATCGCAAGGACAACAAGCCACACATAGAGAAAACATCCCCCCCCCCCCATAGAGGCAATAAGAATTAACAGCGACTGAAATAAACTCGCTCTCTATCCGCTCCACCTGGAAGGAACATGAAAATGGAGTCGAAGAACAATCCCATCTTTTTTGGAGACAATGAGGTCACAAGATTCTCGTCTTATGTTCTTGAAGTTTTCTCACAAGCACTAAGAATCCCCCTCACGGAAGTCCATTTTCTTTTTCTTTTTTTTTTTTTTTTTTTTTTTTTTTTGACCGTATTCTGACCAGTGACCAAATTGTTCACATGTGTGAATTTATTACACCCATATGGAGGGTGCTCACATTTTGTCATTTGATCCATAATTATTTTGAGGCTATGTACTATCATAATGACTGACAAAATATAGTTTATTTTTAAAAAGTCAGCATAGGAAAGCCATTTTGATGTTTGTAAAATTAGGAAAACACTCAGAGCTAAGTGCACAAAGCACCTGTCTCACACAGTAGTGCACCTGTTTTGAAAAACTGCATTTAATGTGGTGACTGCATGCCACTGCAAGATCATGAGACTTCCACTCGCTTGCTCGGAGTGTTCACTTTATCCACTCGAGGCTGCTTGGGGATTTTTTTGGGTTCTAGAGAACATTCTAATAATCTTTGCCTCCCTAGCTTCAGTTTCTTTTAAGGTCCTTCATGAAAACTCCTCATTTGAGTCTTTTCTTTTTCCTTTCAGACAATTCCTCTTCCCTCCAGGAAGATGAAGACGTAGAGATGGAGGCTATCAGTTGGCGGGCTGGCAGTCCAGCCATGAATGGACACCCCACTGTTCCACCAGTGACCACTGCTCGTTTCCCCAGCTGGGTCACTTTTGATGACAATGAAGTCAGCTGCCCTCTGCCACCACCAGTCACCTCTCCCATAAAGCCCAATATGCCATCTGTTCCAACTGCGGTCCCAGATGTACCCTACAACTCGACTGGGTCATTTAAGAGGGACCGTCCCAAGAGCACACTGATGAACTTCTCCAAAGTTCAGAAGCTGGACATCTCCCCCTTAAACCGTCCACCTTCTGTAATCGAGGCACCGCCCTGGAGGGCCACCAATCCCTTCCTGAATGAGACCCTCCAGGATGTACAACCCTCCCCTATCAACCCGTTCAGTGCTTTCTTTGAGGAGCAGGAACGGCACTCCCAAAACAGTTCAGTTTCCAGCACCACAGGCAAAAGCCAAAGAGATTCTCTCATCGTCATCTACCAGGACGCCATCAGTTTTGATGACTCAGGCAAAAGCCAGCCCCACCCTGATGCTATTGAGAAGCTCAAACAACTCCAAATTGACGATCCTGATCAGGTTGGCAGTACCACCCTGCCTGATGATGACCCCATAGCGTGGGTTGAACTAGATGCTCACTCTCCTGCCTCAGCTCTCTCTCAGCCCAGGGATGGATGGCCAATGATGCTGAGAATCCCCGAGAAGAAAAACATCATGTCCTCTAGGCACTGGGGGCCAATCTACATCAAACTGACAGACGGCGGTTGCCTGCAGCTGTACTACGAGCAAGGGCTAGAAAAACCATTCCGTGAATTCAAGCTGGAGATCTGCCACGAGGTTTCAGAACCCCGGCTCCAAAACTACGACGAGAACGGGAGGATCCACAGCTTGAGGATAGACCGCGTCACTTACAAGGAGAAGAAGAAATACCAGCCCAAACCGGCTGTGGCCCACACAGCAGAGAGGGAGCAGGTGATTAAACTGGGCACCACCAGCTACGATGACTTCCTGAGCTTCATCCACGCGGTTCAGGACTGTCTCATGGATTTACCCGTGCTGTCCATGGACTTGAGCACGGTTGGCTTAAACTACCTCGAAGAGGAGATCACAGTGGATGTGAGAGACGAATTCTCTGGCACAGTAAGCAAAGGAGACAACCAGATCCTCCAGCACCGCGTCTTGACGCGAATCCACATCCTGAGTTTCCTCTCTGGGCTCGCCGAGTGCCGCCTGGGCCTCAATGACATCCTTATCAAAGGCAACGAAATCGTTTCTCGTCAGGACATCATGCCCACCACCACCACCAAGTGGGTGAAACTCCACGAGTGTCGCTTCCATGGGTGTGTGGATGAGGACGTTTTTAACAGTTCCCGGGTTATTCTGTTCAACCCTTTGGACGCGTGCCGGTTTGAGCTAATGAGGTTTAGGACAGTGTTTGCTGAGAAGACCTTGCCCTTCACACTCAGGACGGCGGCGAGCATTAATGGGGCAGAGGTGGAGATGCAGAGCTGGCTGAGGATGTCTCCTGGCTTCTCTTCTAACCGGGACCCTCTCACTCAGGTTCCCTGTGAGAATGTGATGGTCCGCTACCCAGTGCCCAGTGAGTGGGTGAAAAACTTCCGCAGGGAAAGTGTTCTAGGGGAGAAGTCTTTGAAAGCCAAAGTGAACCGGGGGGCAAGTTTTGGCTCGGCTGGTGCCTCTGGCTCTGAGCCTGTCATGAGAGTAACTCTGGGAACTGCCAAGTATGAGCATGCCTTCAACGCCATTGTGTGGAGGATAAACCGGCTGCCAGACAAGAACTCAGGTAGGTAGGGATTCTCTGGAAGACAACTAACTCCTGAGGCTGCTTAAGAGCTGGGGTCAACCTTCTCTCTAGCCTGTGCAGCATTTCATTAGGTTGTGTGGTGGGAATGGTGGTAACAGGGAAGGGACAACAGGAGACTAGAAAATCTGCATGTAGTAACAACGGTGATGACCTAGTATATGCCGTCTGTTCCCCACCTTACCATTCTTCATCTCCCATAATTGTTATACTTCTCAACTGAACAGCTGAACAGCTTTCCAGAGCAGCTTCTGAATTGTGTGTGTATGCATGTGTGTGCAAATGCATCTGTATTCTGAATTGTGTATGTATGCATGAGTGTGTGCAAATGCATGTGTATTCTGAATTGAGTGTGTGTGCAAATGCATGTGTATTCTGAATTGTGTATGTATGCATGAGTGTGTGTGCAAATGCATGTGTATTCTGAATTGAGTGAGTGTGCAAATGCATGTGTATACACATATGTGTAGAGGCCAAAGAACGTCATCAGATGTCATTGCTAGGGCACTAGCCACCTGTTTGTGAGAAAGGGTCTCTCACTGGCCTGGAATTTAATTGTCTGGCCAGTGAACCCAAGTGATGCACCTTTCTCTGTTTCCCCAGTTGTGGTTTGTTGTTGTTTTAATTGTTTTACTGTTTTGTGTGTGGGTGTTAGGCTGCACACACATCTGTGCACCATGTGTACACGTTGCCTGCAGAGGTCAGAAGAGGCTTTCAGATCCCGTGGAACTGGAGTGCCAGTGGATTGTGACTCACCATGGGGGTGGTGGAAATAGAACCTTCTAGAACAACCAGTGCTTTTAACCTCTGAGCCATCCCTCAGGCCTATGCCCCACTTTGGGATTCTGTGCCAGTGCCACCACACCTGGCTCTTTAACTTTAGTTCCTAGGATCAAATGCAGGACCTTATATTAGCACTTTACTTAGTGAGCCATCTCTCCGGCACTTTCAAGCTTTGTTCTTCTGGAACTCATTAAGTGTTAGCAGTGGTACAAGAAGCAGTTCATTCCCAGATGAATGAATGCGGATTCTGAAGAGAAAACTTCATCTCCTTAATGAGGGTGAAAGAGCCCGTTCCTATCCAATCACATACAGGGTATATGGGGGAAGTGAACTTCTGCAATTAGCTACTGTCAGTCATAATATCTCCAGAGCCGGGGTTTGGCATTGGGACTCTTGGTGGAAAAGAGACTAAATATCCAGGACATCAAGGTCCAAGGGACCAGAGTTCCACCAGACAGAAAATAGAGAAAGTGTTTGACTTAAACAAACAAACTTCCCAACCGAGCTGCCCTGCCCGCTGCTGCTAGGGCCCGTGCTGCTGTGTCTGAGGGAGTATGGAAGGCAGGTACCAGCAAGACGTTAGGAGTGACAAAACAAGGCAGCAATAACCAGCCGTAAAGAGTTTATGTGTAAGTGACCTCAGACGCCTTCGAAGAACCTGTGATCTCACAAGCTTTAAACCACTTCCCTTGTCTGTGATAAGCTGGGCCCATCAGTTAAGGAAAAGTGGATTATCTAGTCAGGCAAAAAAAAAACGAAGAAGAAGAAAAGGAAAAAAAAAAAAAAATACTGGCTTGAAATCCTGGTTGAAACACCGTGCCCATACTTTCTTGTATTACCACTGTTGAATATTGCAGTGTGTTTGGCTACAAGTGTGGAATGGCTGCATTATCCTATCTTAAATAGAATTTGATAAGATAGCAAGAGACCATGCAGTCTAATCAACTCCTGAGACTGCCCGAGGAGTAGGCAAACGGCAGGGCATTCTGTGTCTGACACTGGGTGTAGCAGTGTCAGCCGGAAGAGACAATCAGACCTCTGTGTTGGAGGCCGGGGCGGGCGGCCACCCTCTGCTTCCACACTGACAGGATTTTTAAAACAGTCTTCCTTGCTGCATTTGCTTACTCATTGCTCAGCATTGTGTTCTCCTGGTGCTCCTGTGCTGGCTGCCTAGCCGGCCATCAGGCCCACCTCACCCGACAACAGAAATGAGAAGCACTGAATTCTCTCTCTTTTGGCACAGATGCCCTGGGGTATTCTGAGAGAGCTGTGAAAGGAACAGGCTTTCAAGCTGGGACCTTAGATGAAAAAGCAATATCTTAGAGATGATGTTACTCACCTGAAGTCACAAAAAACACAATCAGGGATCTCTTCTCAGTACCCCAGATCCCCTTCATAGATGGAGACAAGTAGATGCATGTCACAAATAATCTCCACCGTGGGAACAAAGATTTGTAGTTTCTGGAGGCATACAAATAATCTCAAAGCAACTTGAAATACTTAAAAGTTCTATGTGAAGGATTTAGTTATTTGCAACAAGGGCTGACCATAAATGGAATGGGGGGTGGGGGTGGTCTTCCATATGAATAGGTCGTTGATCTGAGGAAAGGTTAAACACCACATATCAGAAAACAGCTCCCGGAGCAGCACTAGTCACAGAAACTAACAGTTGTCACCTCGGTACAGCCATGGAGACAAGTTTTTATCATCAGTTTTGGTCCTTGGGCCACTTGGCTCAACTTGACAGGTGACCAGAGCAATCAAGCCGAAGAGACCACGGAGGAGTGCTGCTTACTGGCTTGCTCCTCATGAGTTGCTGAGCCTGCTTTCTCATAGAGCCCAGGACCACAAAGCCTAGGAATGGCATCGCCCACAATGGGCAGAGCCCTTTCCACCAATCACGAATGAGGAATATGCCCTATAGTCTTGCCTCCTGCCTTACCTTATAGAGGCATTTTCCCAGTTGAGGCTTCTTCCTCTCTGATGAGTCAAGTTGTCATAAAACTAGCCAGTACAGCTGACAATTGTTGCCCAGCTTCTGCCTTCCTATTCACAAAGCCAAAGAGCTGGTGATGAACTTTGATTACAACCCATTTTCTGAGTTGGTAAATTGGTCTTTGGGGGGCCAGGTGGTTTTTGTTTTTTTTTTTTTTTTTTTTCAAGGCAGGATTTCTTTGTAGCCCTGGCTGTCCTGGAACTCATTTTGTAGACAGGCTGGCCTTGAACTCACAGAAATCTGCTGGTTTCTGCCTCCCAAGTGCTAGGATTAAAGATATGCAACATCATTGCCCAGCTGGTAAATTGCTTCTTACAGTAGTTTTTTTATAACCACTACCTCCATTGCCATGGATCCCAGTGAAGGCCAGACAGACTAGTCCCTCTGAAAACACTGTCCCCTGGTCCTACGTGGACATGCATGGCCCACAGAACACACTAAGAGATGAAACATTTGCCCTGAAACATAAGTAACTTTTTTTTTCTTTCTGGGATTCTGGTTCTTATTATTCTAGGTAAAGAGAAAGCACACCAAATGCCATGGATCTTTTTTATTTACTTTTTTTTAAGAAATAAAAAAGTCAATCTGAATTTTAATGCTAAATTTCATCAAGAAAAACAAGTTAATGAATATATATGTATGTATGTATGTGTGTGTGTGTATATATATATATATATATATATATATATATATATAGAGAGAGAGAGAGAGAGAGAGAGAGAGAGAGAGGTTTCCTGTGAATGAATACACTTAGAGACAATCTGAGGAAGGAGTCGCCTTTTAAAAAGAGGAATGATCTCTCAGCATTTCAGCAATGTCAACTAAAGCTAATTAGATCAAAACAACTGTTCCAGTTCCTATTGGAGTTGAGAGGTCTTGTGCATTACAGTGAGCAAATCCTGTAGCAGCGTACCAAGTATTTAGAACCTGATTTAGAGTTGGCAAGATCTGATCTTCATTCTGAACTCTACTGCTTAATGGTGGTGTGACCTCAGGCAATTGACTTAACCTGTTCGGAGAAATCTAATTCTTCTCATCTATGAAGTAGGATCATTTATAGCCAGCTCATTGAGAATGAGATTGGACGGTGCTTTTAAGTGTGAAGCAGAGTGTTAGTGGTGCTGATAAATGATGGCTTTATAATTAGTCTGTGCCATGCAGAATGATAGATTGAGCAGCCTCGATTTCAGATCATGCTTTTTTCTTATTACATGCATCTTAGTTCAGTTCCCTTCCCTAGAAACCAGTGCAAATTTTTCAGTTCGGTTTCCTAGCCTAACTCTGTAGAAATAACCATTAAAGTACTTTACATTTCTGAAACAGAGAAAAAAACAAGTACTTCACTCCGTAGCATTCTCCTTGGAGAGAGGGTGTGTATCTTCTGTCTGAGATTGAAAGATCCCGCCCAGAACAGTAACGAAAACTGGAGTTGTTTACTTGGAGAGGCAGGAAAGAGTTCTACAGTCAGTCAGCCATGTCACGCTGTTCATCTGTCGCTGCTTGATGCTCTCCATCCCCACTCTTGTCCCACAATCTGGCCTCTGTGTTTGGGAACCATGAACTTATTATGACTCAGACAAAGGAGCGACAGCCTACAGTCATAGATAGATAGCTCTGCCAATTTCTAGCCATGACCCGTGGCAGCTTACTTTGCCTCCAGAAACCTCAGTGATCTTAAGGCAGTAGTTCTCAACCTCCCTAATTCTGTGACCCTTTAATACAGTTCCTCATGTGGTGGCGACTCCCCAACCATAACATTATTTTATTCCTACCTCAAAACTGGACTGTTATAAATCATAACATAAATATCTGAGATGCAGGATATCTGATGGTGACCCCCAAAGGGGTTGCGACCCACAGGTTGAGAACTGCTGCTTTGAGGGTTTGTGATGAGATTCAGCAAGAGTCTGTGTGGAGCATCTAGTATCATACCAGGTAAAGGGCACCCAGTCATCACCCTCTGTGTCTGATGAGGGACGATGATGCTCGAATGTCGTAGTCACAGAACTAAACTCGCCTTTAGCAGATCCTAAGTTTACCTGTAAGAACAGTTGACCCATAGATAACGGAGTTAACCTCCATAGCACCCCACTTCTGTTTAAATTTATTGTACAGCCCGCCTTTTCATACCCCTCCTAACCACTTCACTTTCCAGATGAGGAATTCAGGGCAGAAGAGAACAAAGGCCCTTCCACTTCGAGGACAACTACAAGTGGACTAAGGCATTCCGGCTACAGATCGTCTGCCCTTTGCATTGTGTTCCCTGATTTCATGCGTGCTTCTTTAAGTCTGTCACTTTCATACATCACCCGCCCACAGAAACATGCCTGCGGCATCTCTGAAAATACAAAATGTACTATTAAGAAGATTCATCTTGTAAAGGAAAGCAGTTTGCTCCAGGTGGCTGTCACTGAGGTTTTATTAGGTGTCAAGTGCTAACTAATCTCATCTCTTCACTCTTAAGCCTTGGGTCCCTTCTGTGTCTACACAGCTCTTTGACCTAAACAGGCAGAAAAGCCCCAATTTCTCAGACTGTGGGGGTTTGCTTTTGTTTATAAATGATGTTGAATCATTTGATTGTTTGTTTATTCTGTATGTGTTGGCATTTTCCCTTCATGTATGTGTGTGTGACGCTACCGCATCCCCTGCAACTGGAGTTACAGACAATTGTGAGCTGCCGTGTGGGTGCTGAAAATTGAACCCAGGACCTTTGGAAGGACGGCCATTGCTCTTAACCACTGAGCCATCTCTCTAGCCCCCTTCCAACTGTGGCTTTTATGCTAGAATTTCAGGCTGCAGTAATCAAGAGAGTCTGAGACACACAGAGCCTGATGTCTGCCTGCGGAAGCCCTCTTGCTTGGCATTGGCCCCTCCAAAAGTGCCAGGTGCACAGCCTGCAGACCGCCAGTATTATCAAAGTGGCTCTTTGGTTTCTTTTTCTTTTTAATTTCATCCTCAAAGACCTTGACCTCTGGACTCTTTCTTTCTGTTATAGCTTCTGGGCACCCACACTGTTTCTTTTGCCACCTTGAACTTGGCTCTGACCGGGAAGTGCCTTCCAGATTTGCCAGTTACGTAAACGTCGAGTTCAGCATGCCCACGACGTCTGCCTCCAAAGCAGCTGTGAGATCCATCTCTGTGGAAGACAAGCCTGGTGTCAGGAAGTGGGTCAATTACTCTGCACACTACAGCTACAAGGTAGCCTCAGGGGGCTCCGGGCTGATGTTTCCAAGTCCTTTTGTTCGTTCCGCCCCTCCCCCTTCTTCCTTTAGCAAAGGCTTCTCATATCAAGGAACTTTCCATTAATAGCTGTGGACGAATCAGCTCTGGCTTTAATGAAATAATCTCTCCCTGGTAAGCGAAAGGTTTGGAAAGAAAGAATTAAGGGGCTGATGACAGAGAAGAATATAGTGTCTGGCATCATGAATAATAACAGAAAGAGCAGTGGGACCAAGCAGTAATTGTTACTCATCTGTGGCATAATTCATGTTTTGGAATGAACTTGGAAATGGAGGGGAGTATTGTGAACGTGATAAGCTGAATCAAGTATTTCATCTACAGGAATTGTGTATCAGAACCAACATAGGCAGGCACAGAGCCGTAAGAGTGTAAGGCTTAAAAGCCAAACCCTTTCACAGTGATAATAGGATTGAGATGTCTGCTTTCAATGCTGGAGAGCTGGTTTTCTTGGGGAAAGGGAGGTAGAGACAGGGGTTGACAAGGTTTCCCTCTGTAGCTCAATCCGGTTCAAATCCTGTTCTGCCTCTGAGCGCTCAGATTATAGTAGGTAGATCGTTGTGAAAACAAGGACTTTTAACACTTGTAGACTTTGGTAGAAGAACGACTTCCAAAGAGGGAAGAAAAAGAGACACTAAAGGTTTTGCAAGGTTGTTTGGTAATTTCCTACGTACTCTGCAGATTTATGTAATTTATTATTCCTTTAAATATTTTCTTAGTTGTGTCATCTTAAAACTTTTAACTACCAAAAAGAACAAATGCCCCATCTTGTGGCCAGGACAAAACTAGCACTCCCCCTGTCCCCCACAACTATGAACTGTAATTTTATCTTCCCTTGTTGCCTCCACATGGAGAAGCCTAATCTTCAATTTAGGGCTGGGGAGCAGACGGAATGATGGGATTCCTCGATTCAAACAGTCCCTTACTGTCTTAGCAGAGGCTTTATTTAAGACACCCTACTCTAAAAACATTTGATTATTCATTTGATTATTTATTTATTTGTTTATTTATTTATTTATTTATTTATTTATTTATTTGATGCATGGGGGTGTTTTGTCTGCATGCATGTCTGAGCACCACATGCTTGCAGTGCCTGAGGAGGCCCTGGGACTGGAGTCACAGACAAGGGTGAGCCACCATGTAGGAGCTGGGAAGTGAGCCCAGGCCCTCCGGAAGAGCAGCCAGTATTAACCACGGAGCCCTCTCTTCACCCAAGGCCTGTTACTTTCAAAGGGCAACTTCTTGACAGGATTTTACAGAAGATGGGCTAGCCCAGTAAATGCTCTGATACTTATTAGCGTAGAGATTTAAAAGAAACGAAGTAGCTGGAGGAGCCTTAAGTGGTCAGTTACAAAAGGCTGTAAACTGGGCAGTTACTTGCTGAACTGGATCTTGCTCCTGTCCGTTGGAGATTATGGAATAGTGGAGCCAGAGACACCAGGACTATTCAGAGAAAACCCAGTGTCCGTTCTGAGTGAGGAGCAAAGATAATCTCTGAGCAGTTCTGAAAAGAATAAAGAGTTTGCCAGGACCACAAAGAAGAGAGGATTCACACCTTCCAGGGGCTCATGGTTTAAACCGGACTCAGCGGTTCCATTGTGGCACAAAATTCCAGGCAGCCCCAGGAACCGAGGCTCTTCTGTTTTTGTGCTTTGCCTCTCCCTCTTATCCGAGATATGCTATCCTTCTTTTATTTCTGCAGGTGGAAATTGAACGAAAAAAGAGTTTGAAGCCAGACTTTGAGGGAGAAGAGCTGGACAACCCAGAGGAATGTGGGGTACAGTGACAGTGGCCTGTGTAAGGACCTGAGGAATGCTGAGTCAGGATCGGGTGTCCTGAATAACTCAAGCTTAGGTCAACACCGGCTGTGGCTGCTCCCTGTTGGGGGCTGTCTACCACAGTTTCCTATGTGCAGTTAGTTACCTGTGAGTGACAGGAAATCCCGAGGGGCTGCTTTCAATCCACTCCTTGACACAGCATGCCTGAACACCTGGTGCACCCGGCTTTTGGAGTTTATTGTGTGTCAAGCCTCCTTGTCTCCTTTCTGCTTCTATTATGGCATTGGTGTGTGGTTTGTGGTGGCTGTTAGAAACCCAAAAAGAATGGCCAACATCAGCGTTGGCACAATTTGCTCCCAATATCCATCAGTCACTTGTCAGTTTCTGGAAAAGGCAGCCTGGAAAGTTAATCAAGAATCCATCTTTCCCTCTGTAAAAGAATCAGAGGAATTTCAAAACCATTTCCTCTTTGAGTCTACTAGGCCTTTTCTAGAAGTCTCCATTCTTTAAATGCTGGTTTTACTCCACAGAGTTTTTCCAGATGTTTTGTTTCCCTTCTGGTTCTGGATTGTTCAAGATCAAAATACTTTTCCAGCATCTACTTTTCCATTTGCTATCCCGAGTCATGATGCACAGTGGGAGAGGCCAGTCGGATTTTTTTTTTTTTTTTCCAAATTCTGGGACTGGAGTTTAACTCTACAAATGGACTGGATTGGATTCACAATCTGTTGAAGAAAAAAAGCCAAACTTATTTTTCTGCACTTGAAGGAAAAGGGACTTTAAGTGTAAGTTTATATTCAGTTCAGAAGGCAACTTCAATCGTAATGAGTGGCCAGATTCTCACCGATCTTTTCTAATTCCTGAAATACTGGCATGGCTATGGGGGGAGGGGATATTTGGCATTTCTTGTTATACCTCATAGGCAATGACTGTTACATGTCCCTTTATCTCAAAATGTTGAGGAAACTGAAGTTAAAGAGATCATTGTACAATCTTAATGGAATGAGCTTTGCCCCAAATTCAGTGTTGTGAAAGATCAAAAAGGGAGCGGGCTCCAGGGTAGACCTGGGGAAAAGCCAGTCTGACAGCATCATGAGCATGAAACCCTGATTCCAACAATCAGAAAGGCCACCTTTCCCGTCACGTGTTCCCAGCCCCCCCCCCCCCCCGCACTGTTTCCCCACACCCTGTATTTGCACCTTGGTGTTTTCTCTCATGAAGAATAAAGCAAGGGGACAGAACGCTTATTTTATCAGACTTGGGAACATATGAAAATATAAAATGCCTGCAGTTTGGGACTGACTGATTCAAGATGTATATATTCAGCTCGTATTTAGTGAGATCAAGCTATGTTCTGGCACCAGGCATTAGAAATCATCGCAGTTTTTGAGCTATGTTTTTTTGTTTGTTTGTTTTGGGTTTTTTGCTTTGTTTTGTTTTTCTTTGAGGCAGGGTTTCTCTGTGTAGCCATGGCTGGCCTGGAACTCTCTCTCTCTCTGTAGACAAGACTGGCCTCAAACTCAGAGATTTGCCTGCCTCTGCCTCCGGAGTGTGGGAATTAAAGGCGTGTGTGCACTGCCACTTCCCAGCTTGAAGAATGTTTGTAACCATCTAAGCATTAGAGTGAAACAAAAAGGAGCTGTACAGGCATAGATGACCTGTATTTTGACTTTTTAAAATGCAACCCATTCAGTACAGAGAGAGAGAGAGTGTGTGTGTGTGTGTGTGTGTGTGTGTGTGTGTGTGTGTGTGTGTAATTCAGAGGGGTTGGTTTTATATAAACATTTTCTTGAGGAAATGGGAGTTCATTTTTGAAGCAGCAATATATCATGGCTATTCACAAAACTAATGCATTCCATCTGTGGTGGTAGGTATTTAAACAGCTCTGCATGGTGCATGGGCCAGCACATGCCTGAATGGAGGCTTACATTCAATCATAGCTACTATATTTGAAGGGAGACATGAATATGGTGACTGTGTCCACAGGCAGGTGACCAGGGTTGTGAAGATCAATCATGATTATGTTAGGAACGGGGGTTGGTGGGGGATATAGCTGGGAAGGGAGTTCCAAGAAGCTGGGGAATGATGTAACAGCTGCCACAAAGTTTCTGCTAAGCTATAAACATGATGGGTTAGATTTGTTTTGCATAGCTTCAAAGGCAAAAATAAAATAGAAACAAAGAACTTTACGGATGACAGATGTTTGCTTAATATAAGAATCTTCTAGTAAGAAGTGTTCTAAAGAAGAAAGGGGTCATTGAAAATTTCCTGCCATAGCGATGCCCAGAGGTTAACAAAGACTGTCGTGTTGGATTTGGGCAAGGTGGCAGGACAGGTCTTTTCCAAATAGACTTGATAGGAACGAGGCTGTCTAGCTCCAGATAACCTTTCCTCTGTGTTTTCGTGCTGTTGGAGGACAGTGGGATCCTCACATAGAACATTGTCAAAGAAATCCATGTCATTTCCTCTGTTGGGCTAAAGGCCTTTAGAGTTCCCAGAAGTTCAAGGGCTTGGAGAGTTGGCAAGATGAATGAAGGTCATCCCTAGCTCAGAACCGTCAGGGGTCCTGCCTCGTTGGTAACTTAGTGTACACAGCACCTGCACTGTCCTCTCTCCCACCCCCTTGGCTAATTCTTCTCGCCTTGGTACTTCCCCTGGACTGTTTGGACTTTTGTTGTTGTGTTGCCATTAATCAGAACTTGGGGGAAAAAAAACTCTCCTGTGCTATTTATTTTTAACAAGCAAATTATCACTTATTACCTTGATTCCATCTGATTTGTTTTGCCTCTGCCTTGCTTAGGATCATTATGGATAACATGTAGGTAGCTGAGGGGTATGATGACATGTATTTTAGGGCTTACTAATAACTACATAAGGGGCTGGAGAGATGGCTCAGAGGTTAAGAGCACTGACTGCTCTGTCAGAGGGCCTGAGTTCAATTCCCAGCAGCTCACAACCTTCTGTAATGTGATCTGGTGCCCTCTTCTGGCCTGCAGACAGAACACTGTATATATAAAATAAATAAATACATCTTTTTAAAAAAAAAAAAATAACCTACATAAAAACCGTAGTTGAACAAAATTGCACTTGCCATGTTGTACCTCAGTTTTTATTTTTCCTGTGGTTACCAAAAAGAAAAAAGGCCTAGTCTATGTGATCAATAATGTAAAAATATAAAAAGGGATGGATTTTACCAATACAGTTAGAGCATGTTTGGTGTTACATGGTATCAAAGACTATTTACTTTTGAGTCCAGGACTTATTTTTCAACTTTGCAATGACACGGATTTAGAAAAAAAAAACTCATTCTACTCTATCAGACAAGAGGTCCGACAATGTGGCTCAGTGGTAGAGCTTGCCTAGCTTGCACAAGGTCCAGCACCACACAAGCAACAACAAAAAAGTCAGTGGGAGGGATTTTGAGGACAGATCACTGGCACTCCTCTTATAGACAGAGTGCTAGTTAGTTATTCCTCATCAAAAGTTAGCCCTTTGTTCTTAGTAGATTTTTCCAGACTGTTTTTGTTGTTGTCGTTGTTGCTTTGTTTTTGTTTGTTTGTTCTTTTTGTTTGTTTGTTTGTTTGTTTTCTATTTGTCCCCATCTACTCACTACCTTCCTACATTTACTGTGCGGACTTACCCTCAAGCGTATTATTTCGTTTAAAAGAGTTCTTATTTGAAATAAGACTAGTTTCTCTTTAGAAGCATGGTTGGGATCAGGAATGTATGTCCTGAGAAATGTGACACATGAAGACGAAGAACCTATCATTGTGGTTCAAATGCCTGTCACACCATGTGAGCTACAATAGGGCCCGGCCACCTTAATTCCTTACTGCTAAGTACAGGCATTAAACGAATGGAAATTTTCAGCACTTTGACTCTGAGGCTACTTATCCCTCTGCTTAGCATCCAGTGTTCACATTGTAGCCGGCAAGCAGCATTTGTGCTCCAGAGGACTTAAATAATTTTGCTTTGCTTTTATTCCGCCTGTGTCAACCAAGTGTCAGGACAGAAGCACCTAATGCATGGCTGAACATGAACCACGATGTCCCTTATTCTTACTGAGAACTGTTTCTATCCTCGGAGGCAGAGGGGCACAGTTAGGCTATGGATCCAGTTTGATTGCTGCCAGTCACACAGGCCTGTGCTCCTCTCTGCCTTGCCCCGGAGGGTGACTGGCGCACGGTGCAGGAGGCTGAGGGAGCGTGCAGCCGGCCAGTCCTGCAGCGTCAGATCTTTGTCCTCCCAACTGCAACCTCTGACCAGTGCTACTGTGCTCGTCACGTTCCCACGTGAGATGGGGTGCTGAGATGGGAAGGCTGAGGCTTGCCGAGTGAAGTCATGATCTCAAAGCTGATTTCCATTTTATCATTTCCTATTTTTCCTTAACTTTAGGAATTAATTGTTACGAGCAGAAAGTGCCACCAACCACCCTACTTTTATAAATTCTCCTGGTAAAAAGTGATAAATTTAACTTTTTTCCCCCTCATATTTCAAGGCAGGGTTACTCTGGGTACCTCTGGCTATCCTGGAACTCCATAGGCCAGGAATCTACCTGCCTCTGCTACTATCCCAAATTTAACTCTTCTAAATGGTTGGTTTAAATTAATCCTAGCATGTCTGAAGTTGAAACTGTGATTAGAATAGAATTTGGTAGAGAATTCAAACAGAGCTAACAACAAATTAAATAAAAATATACCATCTAGTAAATGAATCTTGCATTAACACTTTACTACCAAACTATGACAGCATTTTATATAAAATTAGTCAGTATATTCTCACTTTGGTTCTAATGGATGTTTCTAAACAACACCAATGTCAATTTACCAATTCCATACACATCTCCACATTTAATTATGTTCTCTGTAAATGAGATTGACTTTGGATATTATCATTCATAATTGTATTAAAGGAAATGTAAATGCAGGAGATATAGAAGGCAATCTCAAGTGTAGGAACAAATGCATGTATTAGTAATGATCCTGTGGCCACTTAAGCAAGAACACGGAAGTTTTAGATCTTCTTCTAGTGTGCCTTAGACAGTATGCTAATGAGCATC